CTGATGTCAAACTACATGGGAACTGCAACACGCAACATATGCTCCCACCTTGTGCTCGCAGCTCATGTCATAACCCAGAAAAGCCCCGCAGGTCCAGCAGAAAATCAGCAATGGCGCATTGAGAAGGTGCACTGCAGGCCCGCTTGCGCACGGCTCCCCAAGCTTTCATTGGGGGGCGGGTAAACAACTCCACAGCCAGCGCCACCACGTTCTCAGAAACTGCTGGAAGATCGGCCTGCTCTTTTTCGCCACCCGTGTCTGCTACAAACCTCGCTCGGCTGCTGGAACCAGGTTGAACCACTCGTGAACCGTAGAACACAAACGTGTGCATGCAGGACTGATGGCAGAAGTGTGCTGGCAAGGCCGGCCCCTTCCACCCTCCCAAACTTAATGGAACTATGAACCAACTTGTGTTCGGAGGGCACACATCTTGCCCTGCGTTGCTCCAAATAGTTTACTGTCATGTCGCACCAGCCCGTTGGGGAAGATTGATGCGTGCCAGTGCTTTCAGAGAGCGTACCCTTGTCGCAACGCTTTAACCATCCTAGGTTGTTGCGGCGCTCTTTGTCTTCTTTCCCCGAAGAAGAGCGGTGCATGCTGGGCCAGGCATATGGGCCGGAGATGGCTGCAGGATGTGTCAGGATGTGCCTGTGCTTTGGAGGTCCATGCTGCCAACCCAGGCATCTTTGGCTGAGGGCGGCTTAAGCTCAACAGCTTCATGGCAGTTTCACCGGTTTCACAATCCGACGTAGCGTCTACCCGTAAGGGCCGTCGACGGCAAAAAGAAGGCATGAAGGCAAGAAGGCAAGGTACAGAACCTCCTGTGGCAACGATCTCTTTTGAAGGCTCTGGTCATGGCAAGCTGACGCATTGGGTTATACATTGCAGCAATGTAGAGTAATGTGCAGTACGGCATCAACCGGCGCGCAGCAAAAGCTCGCATCTCTCTTTGAAAGAGCACTGAGCTTCCATCCATGTGCTTCGCTTCGCAGCACTTCGCTGCGCCTCTTTGCGTTCCTTAATTGCGGAGTCATGCCTTCAGGCCAAATCTTGGGATGGGATGATGTTGCAGAAGCTGCTTCAAGAATGTGTGTATTTTTGAAAAACAGACGCCTCAGACTCCGCACTGGAGAAGCTGCTCGAGGATGACAGCCAGAGCGATTGGAAAGTCACTGCTCGAGATCTTGAGCTTGCCGCTTGGCGAATGCTTAAGGAGCCGCTGTAGTTCTAACCTTGTAAAGGCACAGCTCGCACAGCATCACACAGCCCGTGTGTGCTACGCGTGACCTTTCGAAGGTCCGGCGTTGCCTCACCGCGGTGGAGGAGCGCGCAAGGAAGCTGGAGGACCAGGCGAAGCTTGCAAAGATTCGTGAGCAGAGTCAGAGCTTAGTCAGCTTCAGCATAGCTTTGGCAAAGATTCGTGAGCACAGAGCCGTTTGCGCCAAGCAAAGGCAGTTGCGATCAGTTGCAATCTTACTCGGCACCACGCTTCAATTTCTGCCGCATGAAACGTCAGGGCCCCTGTGAGGGCTCAAACGAGAACGATGTATACGCTGAAGGAGCCGGCGAATTGTCAGATCCAATTCCCACCTTTGTTGGTTTCAGAGAATTGCACAAGCATGCGCAGAGTCACAAAACACGTCGATGAAGCGCGTAACAACACTTTCGCCCGCAGAAGTCATTCCTGACAGCTCACGGCAACAGCACCAAGGCAAAGCCTGAATGACTACATGGCCCAGAGGGTGAACCGCCCACCCCACCCACCGCACCCGAATCTCAGAAGCCAGCTCCGGCCAAGAGCAAACGCAGCAACGGCATCACAGCGGTGAGTTTGGTGCAGCACTCTGTGACACTCACTGTGTGATGCACTTTCGTGGTGTTTGTCTAGAAACAGCCTTGCACCTGACCTTAGCACAGCATACGGGAGCCATGCTGGCACAAAGGGTGCCGACACAGCTCTGCAACAGGGATTTTCCAGCATTCCAAGTGTACATCGTCGGCAAGAGTCAAGAGTGCTCATGAAGCGGTGAAGGGAATACGAGCTGGAGCGAGGAACGAGGGGGAGAGAGGGAGAAAGACAGGGAGAAAGGCAGCATGCACGGGTGGACGGGCAGATG